ACGAGGTTTGTCGGAATAAATAGCGCCGCGTTTCTCCATCAAGTCGAACGCTGCGTCTGTTGTATTCAAGAAAACCAGGGCGACTCCAAACACGTGGACATATACAACGTCGCCTGAACGCGAAGTAGCGCGGTGAGTCAAAGTCAGTTCAGATCGTCGTAATCCAGAAGTTTGTCATACCATACTGTTTGGCCCATTCGGTTGCAGCAAGCCACATCTGCTTGAGCGGGATGTCAAGAACATTCCCGACCAGGGGAAGCGGCTTCGGACCAGGCGGAAGCGGGAGGTGTTTGGTCTTCGATCTTGACCTCACAAAGAGCGCGGTACAAAGGATACCGGCAAGCAAGGCGAAGAGGACCGGATTCATCGTTATTGTTACAGGAGACAAAAAGGAGTGTAACGAGTGGGAACGCGGGCCAGGGCGGGCTATATATGATGGGACAAGATAAGAGAGGGCAAGAGAGACTAGTATAAAGAGAGAAAAGAAAATGGAAGAGACGGACGAGAACCTTTTAAACTCACGCGGACTGGGCGAAGCGAATGCGGTTTCCCATACAAGGCACAAGGCGTCTCGAAGGACGGGCGACCCATCCGTTCCAGCCATTTGCAGATCGATGGGCCCACTTTTTGAAAATCATTTACAGTCGGACCACGTCGGACAAGCAATTTCAAGTCCCCGAGAGACAGAAATCAGACCATCTGGACTTCTCTACCTTCTTCCGACGTCCCTGGCACCCACTCCGACCCACTCCGACTATACGTGGTTTTCTGAATTGATGGTCTATCGATCTGCAAGCGGCTGTCATTACTATCCCCGCCACTTAATTTGACCTCGACAGCCATCTGCGGAACCAGAACCCATCTCGTGGCGTAACACGAGGTCGATTTAGGTAACCCCCTTGTATTTGCCTCCGTCTCGGGCCAGATTTGCCATCAGCGGGCCAGGGGGGTTTCTATATCTGGCCTTTGTTTGTTGGACTTGGTTTGGTCTTGTCGACGAGATACTAACCCTTCGTGACCATCGGAAACCATTCATTACACCGACTATAGTCGTCTAACACGTAGAATACTCTATTCGTCTCTCATCATACACCCATCATCGTGCATTCTAAACAGATGTCGTTACGGCAGGCGGCACGTACTTGCCACTTCCCGGCTTGAAGATATCCTGCGAAGCCCTCAGTTACCCGATGACACACTGGGACCCTGGACAAACAAACCTTGACCATCCCGCGCGCGATCTGCGTCAGCGCCCGCCTGCTCTCCCAGAGCGGGTACAGCACAACCGATATCGCCGACAGGAAACACCAGATGATCCCGATAGTCACCCACGCAGCCAGCCCGCGCACGCCGTACACCGTCTGCGCGAAGAACAGCGGCAGAGGGATGAGGATGAGGAGGATGAGTGTCTGCTCCGCGAAGGGCGGCGCTCGTCAGCCTTACCCAATCTTCATCTCGCGCAATGCCGGACAGAATCAACACGTACCAGGGCAACAGAAGACCAAGAAGCGAACCTAAACGCCTTCTTCAGTCCCACAGGGTCCAGCTCCAGCTCCTCTTCCATCGCGGCAGCGTCTGATGAGACGGACCGCACGTCATCGGACGCCGACGATTCCTGCCGCTTTTTCTCGTCCAGCCCGTCCAGGCTCTCCTCTGTTTGCCTGTTGCTGGCCTCGGAGCCGTGCCGTGTATCCTTTTCGTGCACTTTGGCGTTGATCGCCCTGGTGGCATCGAAGTTGAAGTTCTCCGGCCACTGTCAAGTAGGGTCCACTCAAATTTAGCAGCAGTAACTAGCGTTTCAAGGAGCGCGACGTACTATTAATGACGTGACGACTGCAATGATGCCGCCCACACCGATAGACGCCAGGTTTCCGGTGAGCATCTCATAGTCGCCTGCAAATCGGGTCAGTTGGGGGTATTCAACTGCTCGCACGGCACTGCTTACCTCCAGTAGTCTAGACAGCGTGAAAGGTCAACACTGTATTTGAAAGATGTACATGTAGGTTAAACACTTACCGTGACATTGATGACCTTGCCATTCAGACTCGAAGTAACCACGAGCCATGACATGACACCACAAGCAAATCCAACCAGAGCGCCAATTATGGAGCCCCATTTATTCGCCTTGCTCCAGGTCACGCAGATAGCAATTGGTACTACTGCCGAGCCGAGGATGACACCCATAAAAGTCTACACGGAGGTTGATTGGGTGATACAGTATCGAGCGTTGTGTGTAACACTCACGTATAGCCAGCCCATAGATACACCGATATAGTAGAATATAGTCCCGGCGAGACCCATGACGATGGCGAAGAAGGCGACCTGATTTGATTTAGCGTTATTCCTTGCGTCAAAGTCAAGACAGCACCCTGCACACGCACCATGAGGTGGTTCATCCTCAGAATCTGCTGCTCGTTCGCGCGGGGGTTGATGTACCTCTGTGAATCATGAATGGAGCTTGAGTGGCTGGGTCCTACATGCAACTCCGATATTGAATATCACCTTGTAGACATCATATGTAAGGATCGAGGACACGGCGATGAGCTCGGCAGATGTGGCAGATGTGACGGCCAAGAAGAGAAGGACGAGGAGTGCGGCTGCACCTCCCTTGTGAAGGAGGGCAGCTGCGGCTGCCGAAGCGGGGAGACCTGCAGACACATCCGCGGGCGTGAGTGTCTGCATATCAGGGTCTCCGGTGAGTGCTCTCGCGGCCAGCCCAAGGGTTGTGGCGAACGCGAAAGGGATCGCAAACCTGGGTGATTGAGCGGTTGGACGAAGTCAGGATAATTCAAATTGCGAGAGCACTCGCCATGCGATACCGCCTAGCAGGTAGGCCTTGACGCACGTCGAGGGCTTGCTAGCAATAGCCCGCTGCCAGTAGGCCTGGTCCTGGAACACGGTGGCGAAGTTTCCAATCAAATTAATGACCCCGAAGATCAATCCGTTCTTCGACCGCATGGTGAGGTACGAGCCGTGCGCGTTGCCTGCTACGGGGGCCTTCTCCGCTGCGGCAGCGAGCAGGTCGTGCATCTTGGAAAAGCTGCCAATTTTGGGGGAGGTGGCGTATACGGTGAACAGGAAGGTGAGGATGATCGCGAAGAGGACGGTCGTGTGCGTGCTATTTTCGACGGTCAGAAGGTAAGACGCGCGGCGGTAAGGTGGTAGAGTCCTCACTAGTCACATAGAAGGGTGGAACGCATCCCACCTACTACTACATAGATACACACGCCCAGTGGAATGAGGAAACACGCCTATGAATTGGACATGTAACAGTATATCGGCGCAGGAGAAGGATAGACTTACGGCAATCGTGTTCATACCGGTAAGGTCCGTCACAGTAGCGGAACCTCCGAGAATTAACATGGAGGAAACTATGATGTTCGTGGCCAACCTGGACAGCGTCAATCCTATTCTTGGCGCATCCCCAACCTGCCACTCACCCGAAGAACATGAAGACCGAGTGTGCAACCGTCCCCCACCTGGCTGCGACAATCTCAAGCCAGGTGTGCGCGTGGGGCGCGTTCAATTTCAATTTAGCGGCGAGCTGAGGAGTACTCTCAATCTCTGATTAAGATCAATATTCTCACATGCACTAACCATAGCGAACAGCAACACTTGGACTGTCGCGCCTGCCCCGTACCACCATGGCCCCGATATGCCGTACTTGTAGGCGACCGCACTAGATTGCAGCTGAGCGACGATCGTCAGCAGTCAAACCCAGTCAAACCTGACCAGTAATCCGAGAGGGATCAACGCACCAAAGTTGCTGCCCATGTCCACGCGGATACAATTCCGGACGCGATCAGACCCGGCTTCACGCTTCTGGACGCGCTACTGAACTCTTCCGCATTCTTGGGCGAGAATCCAGTGTATCGCGTCTGGATCGCGGTTAGGACCAGCATGAACGCGCTGAAGAACAACCCAATCCCTGGATTGCGGGTGAGCTTCCAGCATTATTAGGCAATCCTTCGATCTTACCAACAACTGAGAACGGAAGTAGAGTAAGTCATCTACCCTTTCAGAACCGGACATTGCGCTCACCGACTCCATATCCTGCTCCTTGCGGCAATATGCTAGCTGCAGAGTCGGACATCTTCGCGCGTAGCTACAGCCTAATGGAACAAGAAACAAAGGAACGGCGCTCAAGAAGCGACGTCTTCGACATCTGAGACGCTCTTTACTTAAACCACGGCGTCAGGGACTTAGATCATACCTCCTTATCTCCCCCACAGGAAGAGAAGATCAGCCACAGAAGTCATTACGGCGCTTTGGAGATGTCAGATAAGCACCAGAATATTTTTGACGGGCAGGGTCTTATCTATCGCTTGCAGGCGCTGGTAACCTTGATGGCGGAACTCCGTGAAGAACTGCTCCCGAGATGCACTCAGTCCAGCTTGTAAGTCTGAAATATGCGTGTTTCAAGGACGTTACTGTTCTAGGGTCATCCTAAGGGACGACAAAGGAGGCATTGACACTACTGCGACATTCTGCGGATATACGGGAATCCGTGTGTAGTCAAAGCTGACCTCAGTCCAGGAGACTCGTCGGTGGTGGTACGTTCAAGAAGGCTTCTGCCAGATCCGTAACTCATCCGGACCGTGTCCATCGGAGAACCTGTGCAGTCATCCCAGGGGTTCGAGAAGATAAGTCAATAAGGCTGGACCTTTCTAAACGTACTGAAAGCCTCCCCAGGCTCCCCCTGCAGTCAACAGGGCGTTGCGAACAGCATTTACCTGGTATGTTTCTCCAAGCCGAGACTATCAGACCCAAGGCCCAGGAGCTCCCGCCACAGATGAGTAGCTTCTGAGCTTCGCAAGGGTGTTAGCCTCCCTTGATCTTCCTTGGAGAAAGTGTAATCTGACCGTCTTGAATCCGGAACAGAAACCAAGGCACCACTGAACCGTTATGGTCCCCTCGACTCCACCCGTATCTGGCCGGGAGGAAAAGACGGGAGGATGTAACATGGTCCTACATATTCCCTATCGAGTCGCCCCTGTCCTGCTCCCGCACTAAAAAGCCTCTGTCGTTCTGAGATAACGATTCGGGTTCATCGGCCGGCCAAGGTAAGAAACTACAAGAAGCATATGGAGTCGGTCTGTCGGTTTCCAGTCCAAAAGCCGCAGAGACAGTACGCAGGCCAAAGGGCACTGGAAGACTGTCGGCATTCTAGGGAGACTTGGCATTTACAGCGCCAGCATTCTGTATGAGGTGGTATACAGCATCCGTGAACCAATGCTTAGCTGGACTAGTACTGCGGCCTTCAAGTGATATAGACAGCGAACGTCGCATTTGGGTTTGAAAGGTTAACAATAGCCTCCTCCACTGGATGCAACCATATCACAGTCTAGATCTGGAGGGTAATACTAATACAGCAGTCGGTTACTCAGCCTCGCAACCATGCAGCGTAGTAGGAGCCAATTGGGAACCTAGTAGCTTATTTGGCCCTGTGTGGCAAGAGCTTTGGATTCTAACAAGCGCAAACAATCGCCACCCAATTTGCGATCTGACATGTATGAAAAGTTCTAAAGCGTCTGTTCTGCGGTCGTAAGTTTCTGTATACGCCATTCAAGCCACGAATACTCGGTCGGACGCGATTGAGGTGCTCTGATATTACCCAGTCGGACTATTATTGCCTGCATTATTTGCCGAAGAGCTCTCATTCATCACAAGCAAGTTACAAGTATAGGGAACGCTTTCTACAGCGGACTCCAATCGAACCTCCAGGCAGTTCCTGACGTTTATTTACACGTTTAATCCTAACAATGTCTGCACTGGGGAAACGAAAAGAGCGGGAGGATGAACCTGAGCAGCCAAAAGTACATGGGTCCGTACGCTCCCAGCAGTTTCCTGTGCTGCATTAACTCGACGTCCTAGATCTACACTCTTCGTATCCAACCTGCCATACACCGCAACATCAACCGACCTACAAACACTTTTCTCCGATATCGCACCTGTGAGGTCTGCGTTCGTGGTGACCGAGAAGGGGTCGGGAGTCTCGAAAGGCGTCGGGTACGTCTCCTTCGCCGTCAAAGAGGACGCCAAAGCAGCATATGAAAAGCTATCACGAGAAGGGATCACCCTTGACGGCCGAGGCTTGAGGGTATCATGGGCGGACAGCAAGGTACGGGTCTCTGCATCAATTGCGCGGGCGTGTAACGCTGACTTGCACAGAACAAGCACAAGGATGAGAAAACGGAGAAGGCACCAAAACCCCGTCCTGAACCCCGCCCTCGTGCTGCACCGTCACAGAGTGACCCTTTGGCAATCCGTACGATCGTGATCGCCGGCCTTCCATCTTCTATCGACTCAAAGTCGCTGTGGAAGAAGGTTCGGAAGTATGGGGGCGCAGAGAAGGTTGAGTGGCCGTTAAAGAGGGATGATGGCACTGAGGATCCTACAAGCGGTGAGTTTTCGGGGACCATGGCATAACCTTGTCTCAACTAACTTCAATCAGCGCACGCCGTATTTGCTACACCCGCCGCTGCCCAGGAGGCCGTCAGCAAGCTGCACGCCCATGTCTTCAAAGGCTCCCTTCTCTCCGTCACTCTCAAGAAACGGCTCGAAGGGCTCGCGAAAGCCACCATCAAACGGGGCAAAGCCAAAGCCGGGGCCCCCGTCATGCCGAGTCGCTCCAGCAGGCTGATCGTGCGCAACCTACCGTTCAACATCACCGAACAAGATCTCCGCGCCGTGTTCCTGCCGTATGGGCCTATCTACTCGATCACCCTGCCGATGACGGAGGCGAAAGAAGGCGAGCAGCCGCGGCCGAAGGGCTTCGCGTTCGTGTGGATGCTGAGTAAGAAGGACGCGGAGAAGGCGATGGAGGGGTGTAATGGGCTGAAGGTGCGCGCGGGGATGGCGGATGGGATCGTTTCGGATAAGCAGAAGCGGAAGAAACAAAGACGGGAGGAGACGAAGGCGAGGAAGACAGCGAAGGGAGATGAGGAGGAAGAGGCGAGTGATGCGGCGGAGGAAGAGGAGGATGGGAAGAAGGCGCGTGAACGGGTTATCGCGGTTGATTGGGCATTGAGTAAGGATCGTTGGGAAGAAGAGAAAGCAAAGATCGAGGAGGTGGAGGATGAGGAAGATCCAGAGGAGGGCGCTGACAGCGACCAGTCTGAAGTGGAGTCCGGGAGTGAGTCCGACGAAGGGGAAGGGCCTCTAGGCGTTCATGAAGACGGCAGCGATGATGATGAAAGCGGCGGATCGGATGAGAGTGGTGACGAGGACATGGACGTGGATGAGCAGAAGCCTGCAAAGCCGACTCTACCGCCTCCAGAGACTGGCACTACACTCTTCATCCGGAACGTGCCATACGAGGCCACTGAAGATGAATTACGGACACTGTAGGTACAACAGCAACATCTGAAGATGTTCTATCTGACATTTTCCTCCAGTTTCCGTACATTCGGGCCGCTACGATATGCTCGAATCACTATGGACCATGCTACAGGGCGTCCTCGTGGAACGGGTTTCGTCTGCTTCTGGAACAAGGAAGACGCAGACAAGGCTATCCAGCAGAGCGAAATCCTTCGGGCTGAGACTGCAGGAGAAGAGCTGGTAAGTCACAACTGCCTTGCTATCGTTGAAGCGTATATCAATTCATGGTTTTGCTCCAGCCGAAGAAAAATCCCTTCAAGTTCTCATCGATTCTGACTCCGGACCCGTCCTCAGCAATGGCTCAGAGTTTAGTCCTCCATGGACGCACTCTGGACGTCATTCGAGCCGTCACGCGGGAAGACGCCGTCAAGCTCAAAGAAGCTGGCGAGAAGCAGCGACAGAAGGCGGATAAGCGCAATCTGTACTTGCTCAGAGAAGGAAGTAAGTACCGGACGTTCGAACTGCCATCTCATTCTGATCTCCCAATTCGCCTGTGCAGTTATATTACCCAACACTCCAGCGGCAGAGCTGCTCAGCACCGCCGAAGTCGAAAAACGCACAATGTCGTTCAACGCGAGAAAGAAGCTCCTTCAGTCGAACCCGTCTCTTTTCATTTCCAAGACGCGTCTCAGCATACGCCAAATCCCGCTCTTCGTCACTGAGCGCTCGCTGCGCAAGCTCGCTGTGCACGCCATCCGCGCGTTCAACATCGAGTATCTGAAGGGCTCGAGACCGGGACTGACCGAAGATGAGCTGACGGATCCGGCCGGGCGTGAGCATGCAGAGGAGGAGCATTCGGAGACGGAAAGTCACAAGCCTCAGCCGAAGAAGAAATCGTTCCTGAAGAAAAATTCGAAGGTCCGGCAGGCGAAGATCGTGCGTCAACAGGACCGCGTCGACCCCGTCACGGGCAAAGGCCGCAGCAAAGGCTACGGCTTCCTCGAGCTCGACACGCATGCGAACGCGCTGCGCGTCTTGCGATGGGCGAATAACAACCCCGACGTGCTGGACCTCTTCCGGGAGTGGTGGAAGACCGAGCTATCGGATCTAGTGAAACTGGAGAAGAAGAAACCCGAGAAGGAAAGGGAGAAGGGTCGGCTAGAGAGGCTGGAGCTGGAGCTGGAGAAGGCTGACACGCGGGATGTGAAGGCGAGGGGGACGCTGATTATTGAGTTTTCGATTGAAAACGTGCAGGTAGTACAACGAAGAGCGGCGCGTCAGAAGGACACGAAAGATGTTACGGTCAGTCTTCCGGTGCATATTCATTGTCGTAGGCTTTTGAACTGAAACGGCTGTTTGGAGCAGGTGAAAGACCGGCCAACCCGGACTGCAGCCTCTCCGAAAAAGGACACGATCGCGAATAAGGAGGAGGAGAGGCCCAGCAAGAAGCAGCGTAAACGGCAAGATAGCAGTGCGGATTCTCGTCGGAATATGGCGCCTCCGCCCGCAGAGGCGCCTGTGAAGAACAAAAACCCAGTGGGATCTATCATTGGCAAAAAGCGGAAACAGCGCAAGCTGGCCAAGAAAGGCCACTCGTAGCTTTGTATCTTGTCGTAGGTCGTCTATACTTGCGTGTGCAATTATAATTATCTCGTCTGGTGGTCACCTATCGTGAATTGAGACAGGTATATGGCATTGCGTGTAAGGAGCGGGAAATTAAGACTTTCTTATCTCTACAAATATGGCTACGCGTGACTACACAAGGCGACGAAGGGTATACTGCGGGCGGGGAATGCGATACATGATTAAATGAGCGGTACATTACGCGTACGGGGTCATACTTGTTCGTTGAAGGAGCGTATTACTTCATGGATGGACGTGCGGACATAGACTGCTCCAGTCGAAATCATCGCGTCGGGGAGGACGACGCAACATGGTCGAAACTGAACTTCTTTCTCGTCGACCATATCTTCTTGCCCACCAAAATCTTGCGTGTAACTGTAATCCTCTTTCCGTATATCTTCTTCCCGAACTCGAGCAGTGCCTGCACGACGTCCTCGCGCTGGTCATAGAACACAGCGTGGCTTCCGCCGGCCACACTCACCGCGCTCAGCTGCGGAAAGTGCGGCCTCATCTCGTCGACGACCGCCTGCCCGTCGACGTATGGGTCGGCGGCGCCGCACACGCAGAGCAGCGGGAGCCCCTTCCTTCCGGCTTCGAACAAGGGCGCCGGATCCTGCGGGCGGGAGAAAACGAGCCCGGTCACAGTCGGGGACTGCAGCGCGGTCATGCCGATCCATGCCGTCTTGACAGCGAACGGCACCCGGTCGGGGTCGTTGAAACACGAGTCGACGAAGCGCGCGAGGAGGGATTTGACCTCGGTGATGGAGGCTGTGGAGGAGGGGAGCATCTGCGGGATGACGGAAAGGATGTCGGGCTTGCCAACGGATTGCATGACAGGGCCGATGTAAGGGAGCGCGGAGATGAAGACGGCGCCGGCGAGGGGTAGGGGGCGGATGTTGGCGCAGATATCGGCGACTACGGTTGCTGGTGAGAGGGCACGTTAGTCAAAGTATTGGGAGACGGAGGTAAGTTATCGGGAGACGTACCTCCGAGGCTCCTGGGGAGATAAGATGGTCAGCGCCAGTTCGCTGGTGGAAGGACTGGGCTTACCAGCCAACGAAAATAGGTTTGACGAGGTCGAAAGCAGATACCACAGCGGAAAAGTCGTCCGCATAGAGGTGGGACTGGTACCCCTCCATTGTCTCGGGTTTGTCACTCCTTCCATGTCCTCGCATGTCGTATCTGACCTATTGGGTGTCAGCACCTCTTAGTATGTGGCATCCACGAGATAGAGATAGTGGACACGCACTAGATAAAAGTTGTCAAGAAGTCGTTCATCCCGGAACAAGTCGTCGAAAATGGCCGCACTGAGCGAGACGCCATGGGTAAATACAAGGCTCGGTTTCTGGGAGTCCCCGACCGCCTCGGCGTATATCCTAGCACCGTCAGAGGACCTCAAGTATCTGGTCGAAGGAATGAACGACATCATTGAAGAGGTCCAAATGACGGTGAGGAGAGGGACGAGGGCGAGGTGGTTCTTGATGGGGCGGACGGACAAAAGACGTCGACTTCGACTCGGGATAAAACTTCGTCCTGGTTAGATTGCCTAGGAGACCGATCCATCTTAGCGAGTGGAATTCGGGAGAAAATCTTGGTCGAGATTTGAGACCACAAGAGGGAGATAATCTCAGGCACCGTGCCTATTGTCATGACGCGAACTCGCCACGACATTGAGAACTCCTCTGAAGATACATAACCAGCTTGTATACAGAGCTAGTTGCCCGCAATGTCAATGTTTAGAGTCGTAGTCTGTCATAAGACCGTTCTCCGGCTCTTCCGCAAATGCAGCAGATGCCGTGAGGCGAACCTACCGACCGGAGCTCTTAGCCTCTTGCCTGGTAAAGTCGAGGCTCCGTCTAAGCGGCATAGATACCGTAGCGTTCTTCGGTGGTGGGCCAATCGGATCGCTTCATATCCTCGCTGGATCGTCATTGCATCCCTTATATGGCTAGAAAACGTTAGATTGTAGATCTCGTTCTTTTCCCCACAGTAGGCTTTCTTTCGAATTCGTGGTCCTCCCTCTGACGCACAAGCAAATTGTTGTGGACTGTGTATCGGGTATATATGTTCACTTCAATTTCAGTGACACGAGCGGTTCGACTGCCCTCCTGCAGCGGAGCGTACGTCTCTTCCCGAAATACGAAGGTACGGCCAGGAACTCCTCCGGTCGTCGAATCTTCTATCGGCCGGCGAAGGGAGTCAGGCACTGTGAAATTCTGAACGTCTCTGGCTGAGCATCGTCGCTGATATGACCATCTCCTGGGATGGCTCATGGCTGTAGAGCTATGCATAGTAAGTAGTAGCCAACCACTTGAAATCCGCTTCGCGTGTTGCGCATTCCTCTGCCCCAGCAACAAACGAGTTCTGCCACCTGATGTCCCGTCGGATCGACGTCACGTCTATTTGTGATCTTTCTCCCGAGCTGCAGTGGGCTGGAATGTCAATAGGCTCACTATACATAGCCCCGTGGGCGGGATTGCAGCGCATCGGCAGCGGGGTCGCGGTCGAGCGATTCGCAGCGAAGAAATGCTGTCATTTTTTATGAGATCGTTGTAGTACCTCAAAGCTTAAGGATACGAGAGTGAGGCGCGCAATTACTGGTACCGGGGCTGAACTGGTTCGAGCAATATATACATCTTGAATATCAGTTATATTACATTGTCCGTGTATAACAACATCGACAAGCAGAAGAGGGAGACGATAGCGCTACACTGATAAAGATAGCTGGTGAGAGACTGAGAAATGCATGGCGTTGAGCAGCAATCGCTGGAGCGATAGATAGAGAGACACGGGGAACGGAAGACAGCAGTGAATAACACGATAGAGGGGGATAGGGAGACCGCATAAGACAGGAGGGCAGGGAGAAGGGGAGACAACTAGCGATAGCGCGACGGCGAGGCAAGAAGATCGGGATAAAACTGACAATAAGATAGAAAAACCGCGGGGACTAACAGTTTGCAAAGGACGGGGGGACAGGAGGTCCACAGGGAATAAAGAGAAACCTGATGATGAACGAACGACCCGGGATGGAGACGCAAGGGAGGTATCTCACTGGCGTGATATGGGTGGTGAGTCAATCATAGAGTCTTCTGAGCATGACAACGACTCCGCACCTTAAACTTCGCCTTCGACCTTGCCTTGGACGTCACCGGCGCCTTCGCTCTTGTCTGCCCCTTTACCTGCGCCCTGGCCTGCGCCCTGGCATGAGCCCTGGCCTGAGCCCTGGCCTGAGCCCTGGCCTGCGCCTCAGCCTTCAATCTGGTCAGGACTTCGGGGAGATACGGGCATGTCGCATGATGCTCCCGACACGCCGCCGTCCCCTTCAACACTACGCCACAAGGTTTGCAAGAATTGCATGCGGCATTTTGCAAGTGCCTGGTCAAGGCATCTCCCCTGGACGCCTTGCTGTCGCACAAAGGGCAGTGCTCCGAGGTATCCAGATGGCGCTTGCTGTCCAGGTGTCTGGAGAGACCGCGGACCTGCGGACGCATTTTACAATCCGGCCACGGGCAGCTGATGGATAGCGTAGATGAGCGGGGGACCTGCCCATTGAGATGTTGGTCAAGTATATGATCCACCATCGCCTGGCTATCCTTCTTGACCTGCGCCTTACAGCCTTGGGCCGAACAAACAACCCAGCCAACACCTAGGGCAGACGGTCGGAACTTTAGGGAAAGGGTCGTCGGGTCCGTCATCTGCTGCTGCTGCTTGGCAAAGGAGGCGCTGCCCCCCTCGGCCGAGAGCCTCGATGCCGAGTCCCCCACGCTGTGTGGGCTAGAACCGTCGGTGGATTGTGCGCCGTTGTCTTTGGCGTCCTCTCCTTCCTTGTAAGCATCGCCCGCAGAGAGGCCGTCGCCGTATGCATCGACCTCGGCTGCCGAAAGACCGTCGTCGTAGAGATCGGAGGAGGTCTCCGGGAGACCCTCGTCGCCGGCTTCCCCTGTCAATCTGGTCTCCTCGTCCGTCGGCGGTGCAAGAGGCTAAGCAAGAATCAAAGTGCTAGGGTCAGGAAATGGTACTGTGCACAATAACCAGTCATTACTCACAGGCCCCATCACAAGACGGGGATCGACACATGACGACGGGGAGTGTGACGATTCCGAGACGTGTATATACGAGGGCTCGTACCCTATTGGGTGTCCAAGCATATCCGAAGTAGGCATCCTAAGTAGGAACATTAACATTTGCCAAACGGATACATGAACTACTCCTCACGGTGGCATGCCCTGATTAAGATAAGCACCACTCTGAAGTCTAGAACGTCCATCAGCGCCACGATATCGCAACAGAATGCTACTGCACGTACGGTTGCCGAGAATACGGTGCGACATTTCGGAGATGAACACGATGTTGAATAGCATAGCTGCGCACGGCCCTAACATGACTACGATTCACAACTGTAGACCATCATCGCCCAGTAGAAGTACTTACCCCTGATAAATATAGGCCCTAACCGCGTACAAGCCCGGGCTTCAGTAAGGGCGCGCCAGTCAATAATGAAAGCCAACTCACGAGCCAGACTCGAAAAGAGGATTGAAATTCTCGTCTGTCATGAGGCTAATCGTGAAGTCGTTGTGTGTGACGATGCGAGGGTAGCCTTTGTGGAGGAGTATCGCGGAGGCTGGAAGATGCCGGGAAGGCGTCGCTGTGATGGAGGAAGGAAAGCGAAGAACAGGCCCCTTTTATACCCCAGCGGAAAGCTGTGCTGAAGGATAAGGTTTGCCGTTCAACGAATCAACAAGGTCACGGACACCGCGAGAGGAAGACGCGCGAGAAAAGGCGTGACTGGGACGCGCGCGCGAGAGAGAGACGCGACTGAGCTTTGGTCCGCGCCACCGTCATCGATCGCGCATCGGTGCTCCTGCATCCTCCCCGCAGTGACCTAGCGTCCTCCTGCCAGAACAGATTCAGACGAATGCATTGGATGAGTAAAGTAGAGCACCTTACAATCGCCTACGCTTGGATCACTCCTGCCACTGTCACGACGCCACCACGGCCAGAGTGCCACAAGCACAGCATCCCTACCCGTTCCCAGCACTCTCGAGCATGACGCCACCGCTTGATTCGGGAATAACTTCTTCAAACCTACCTTTTCACAGCGAAGAAAGGTTTCTTCATACCGCCCGACCTGTTGGACGGCAGTCCCAAGCCTAGGTTGGAGCTGCACGGTCTCAGGACGGGTCCCTACCTTCGCGCCGACTATGCCTGCTTGCGCCGCTGCCACCCTAAGGACTACTGAGCAGCACCATCGCTGCACTCTCGCCGTGGCCTCGACCGTTGTCGGTGCCACCGGGGTCTCGAGCTTCTCAAGCGTTGCCTGCTTTGATTTACCCTCTTTCGACATCGCCGGGGCCGTCGACGGGACCATTCTCGTTCCACTGTTTAAGACGACGCGCAACTTTCCACTGCCGTCGGTGTTGATGCGCTTGACGACCTTCCTTTCCACACCATGACCTCCGCTCTGTACCAAGACTTACCATTTTACGAACAACCCCGACTGCAACGGTGGCCGCATTGGCGGAATCGCCAGCATCCTTCCATAGGGAAGCATCGCCAGAGACGCCTTGTATTTCCATATCGACGCCGTCAATGCTGGTGATGACTGCACGTACCTATTTCTACCCCTGCTACGACCGATGTCGACGGCGGCCCCGGCTGAGCGGGCCTGCGAGGCTCCATTGAAGCGACCTGCACCCTGCCGTACGGAGGATAGTGGATAATGGATGCACGTTCAGGCATACGTCTGTATACCCAATCCGAGATAAGACTTGGGACAACAGGGGACACGCAACGACAGGGTCATGGTACGTGTTGAATGGTCCCGCTGAGGAAGCACGACTCTCGCAGCCGTCTATACACAGTACTTCGGGGTCGGCACCAAGGGGGCTCGTTGCAAGCAACCTACCTTTTCTCGCGTGCTGTACGTTTCCTGCCGGACCATGCGCTGTGCGTCGAGTAGCGGCTTGAAATCGGACTGACATAGGCCAATAGGGACAAAGTCCCCGACCTTTCAACTTACCTCCGCATCCTTTATGCATGACCACTGCATTGAATCTGCGACAGCGCATGCCACGGTATGTCCTGGTGTTCCACGCTTCAGAGCCCATCTATATTTGCCGTTAGATGTTCGTGGGCGGCCTTATGCTGACGACGTACGTCGGGGAGCGTTCTACAAATATTCTTTGAGTATATAAAGCTGACACTGACAGCTCAAGGTTGCCTACGCATCTTGTGTGATGTCGACGGGTCTCAAATTCGTAGGAGTGCAGGTATCACAGTTGCTTTGCATTTCCCTGACGCTGTTAACTCTCGGAATACCAGACTACCTGCACACGTCCGCTCTCTTGTCATCTTACGAGCAGAGTTCGATCGGACGGTCGACTCCGCCAACGAACGTCATGGTGCAGCCAATCACTCTGTCACAGCCATTGGTAAGGATCATTGTTTTGCTCTTGGACAGGTAACAGTGTTGATCACAGCTCTATTTACAGTTTAATGTTTCCAGTCGACTTACCCGGAAAATGTTCTGGCTCTACGATTGCCGTTGGGCCGACAAGGATCGAAGACGTGGCTCAAGGCAAATCCCCCCTCAGCTTCTGAGATACGAACGCGTCGCTATCACTGATGCAGTCGCATTGTCGAGTTTATGCGATGCAAATCCCGCCAGGGCGACTCCAGCAGCGGTGTGATACCTCCGCGCGCCGACCCTTCGTATTATATGCATATGGGGTACGGCCCCGCGTTCTCGGAGAGCACTGGAACCTTCATCCGACGGCAGAAGGTGGGTTCAGAGCCTTTACAGTGAGGAGCACCTGCACATACCTCGTTTCAGCGGTTTCGTCATCCTTGAGATATCTCTCTGCACGAAGGCATCCCTTCCCAAAATATCAAATGGATGGTTTGCTACTGAACTGAGCAGGTAAGGCTGATTGTTCCCGTCGCTTGAAAGACCTCTGCTAGCTGATATCCGCTAGAGGCTGCCAGAATCACCGACCGCTCCTGACACTGGGCGTCGTGAGCATGCATAGCAAAAATTTTCTCAAGAGCAAGCGGACGACAAAAAGGTCCTTGGCATCGTCAGCGGCCCTGTCCGCAGCCTCTCCAGCCAGGACATCCGTAGAGGTGCAAAATCGTTCGGGTTGTGTCGGTGTGGCAGAGGATGCGGGCGTGGTCGGTTTGGAGGGCTGTCGTACGATGTCCTTCCAATCGGATGTTCTCCGGTCACAGAGAATGATGCGGATTCACGCGTTTCTGCCACACGTGCCGCGGGTACATTACCTTACGGTAAGCCTCAGGTACGCGCCACACTGCCACCGTGACACTGACAGCCGACGCTTGTGACCGTATAACACGCTCCTGCATCCACGGCACTCAAGCACCACTGACTGTCGCCCTCTGAGTGAAAAGTCTCAGCAGCTTTCCTATTGATATTACACGAGCAGGCGTACGTGGAACCAGAATCTTCTGGATATCCAAGAGCGAAAGCTAAGGTAAGGAGCGGAATTGACTCATGAACGAATCCAAAAACAAAGTATAGTTCCACCAGGAAACGAATGCCAACGTACCGCGACCAGTACTCTACATACTACGGGCTAAGGGAAGGAAATTTGAGCTACGACTGTGTTTTTCGGTTCGGTTCGATCCTACTCGATACATTTCGAGGATAATCCTCGTTCTCCGTACCGGAGAAGTATGTCTGCGGGGAGAACGCCTCTTCGGTACCGGCATTCTGTATCGCAGGAATCGCAAGATGCTCTGGTGAAGGAAGTCCGAAGTTGGCATCCAAGGATCCCCCGTAATGAGGATTCGGAAGGACAAAGTTGTACTGTGACAAATCCGTCTGTCTGGTTTCAGACGTGTGTGAGCTCTCTGTATGTTGGTAGCTATACTCCGGGGGATTGTCTGCCGCCATGGCAGTTTTCCGTGTCGCTCGTCGGCGACGGAAGAAGAAGAACCACAGAGCTGCGAAGACCAGGCCCACGAAGATAGCGGCACCGACGCAGACACCCGCAATTGCTGCAGAAGAACTGTGACACATTCAGGATACGATCCCAGAGTGGACTGTCGATATGCAGCTTACGTACGTGCGAGTGGCAGAGGTTGCTGCTGCAGTTCCTGAAGGAGAGCTCGTCTGTGTGGCACCAGCACCATTCGTGGCCGATCCGGACGTAGACAAGGATACACTAAGGCTGGGGAACGTTCTATGAGCAACTCAAAACCTTAAGTAGAAATACGCACTCAGCCAAACCCGCAATCGCGTAGTCGATGCTCAGGCAAGTGGAGTTGGAGGGGTCGCCCACATTGGTGAGTGTCACATCGTGTCGGCCTGATGGAAGTGCGCTTGCGGCATACAACATAGTGTTGCCGTAGAAGATCGCCTGCTTTCCATCGTACAGCGCGGATTCGCCACCATCAAGTGACACACTGTACGACCCCATAGCAGGAGCTAGAGCCCCATAGACTTGCACGGAGTCCCCTGCAAGACGTTTGTCAGATTTCCAACGCGGTAACGGCACCAAGCGTCACCCTAGAGTGACAGTCAGCCAAGAACCAACGCAGTAAGAGATATATTACTGACTTGGAAAGTGTACGTAACGGAGTCGCCCGGGTCGCAAGTCATACTATGAGCAGTAAGCTCTTCAGATACATCTTACAGGTTCGACGTTGGAAACTTACTGGCCGTTGGTCCCATTATACTGTGCCGCATTCGCCACTGCGGTGGACCAGCCGGAGCCCCGATAGGAAAAAGACGGATGCGTGTCTTGTACACGCTGGGTATCCGTTGTAACGCTTGTATTAAAGCCAATCTATTCGTGACGAATTCAGGCGTGGATTATAGGGAGTGTAAGAGAGAAACAAACGTAATCAAGATCGAAGTAGCCCTGCGCAGTCCCTGAGCCCGAGTTCACCACTACGATGGTGTGCCACCCATCTTCTAGCGGGCCAGATGAAAACAGGGGACCCCATATGCCGTCCAGAGCACCGGATGAGCCGTTATTGGTACTGATGAACGTCCCATCCAGGGTGATGTTGAAGAACCCGTGATTCTGTCGTTTCGCGCCGAAGATAGTCACCCCCGTGCCGTTGAAACTGAAGGTCGCAGAAGCCGCGTAGGTCGTGGTGAGAGTGAACGTTCCACCCATCGAATATCTGGCGAGCTAGCTGTCAGTCCACACCATACTCGGAAGACATATATAAGCTACTCGCCTGGCATAGTCGCCATCTTGAGAAGCGTCAGCCGCAGTGCGAAAGGTCCAAGCGTTGGTCGGCGTGTAGGCAATGAGAGGACTCGAGTTGTCTATGATAGTGTATACGTCGGACATGACGTTCTACCTCTCCTGGAGGCTGAGCCCTATTAATGCGCGGGGCGGGAAGGTGAATAGCCAGCGGACCTGTGTTGGTATATGACCTGTATCAGTGTGACGGAAATGAGAACTCATCTGATACAAATGGATAAAGGTTTGACATTGTCGCTGATAATAGCAGCTTGGCTACTTTTAGAGCTGATATGATCAAAGGAACATTGGCGCTGAAGGGATTCAAGACGTACCGGGCAGGAGTTTGTGTATGCGAGGGCACTGGCAGGATCCATGTCTGCATACCTCCTGGCTTGGATGAGAGTTCACACTGTCTACTCGCAGTACCAGAGTAATAAGACCCAAGATCCGCTGGGTGCTGTCGTTAACCAGTTGGTCCATTGACAGATGTGATCTGACGCCACGGATGCGGTATTCCAAGCAGTGCCTCCACCGAACCCTGACAGAATATGCATATGTTCCCAGGATCCATAGCTGGGTCCAATTGTGCGCCAGGGAACATCAGATGGAACACGGTAGAGCGAGTTCAGTGGCCAGGACATCAGGAAACCCTTCGTACGTGCACAAGATCCTCGTGGGCACTCTAGAGTCAAAGTGATTGTCGTGATTCCCGAAGCCTGCCCTTATAGAACGATACTGGGGCATAATCTGATGCTGCCGCATACGAGATATACCAGTAGTGTCGGGCCGGGATGAGCACTACACGGCGTTACACTGGTAACATGCAGGGGCCGCAGGTAACGAAAGCCACGACCTGGGAGCTTCAAGTCAAGAAACTGCAAGACCAGACATAAGTCGCCTTCCAACGGCTGGTAGTAAATTGAACCCTTTGAGTCCGGGGCGGATATACTTCAATTATTACTTATCGGAACTCGACGAAAACGCACCATGTCCTCAACCTGCTTGGCGATCATGACCTCGGGCGCTGTCTCCATTTCCCATTTCTCTGCTTCAATAGTCGACGATAACCTTCATCGATACCATCTGAGGTTGGGCAAATCACCTAGGACCACAGTAATAGGACTAAGAGACCGGCATTTCCCGCCGACTCAAACGGACGAGCTGTCCTCCTTTCCGATACTGCGGCTTGCCTCAAGCTTTCGAACTTGAACTCGCTATGTCATGATCAGAAAATTGAGGGTTCCGATACACCATGATGCGTTCAGAGCCTTCTCGATTAACTCTCGCCGGGCTGCTTCGAATTTCAACGGCTATCTGGGCGACGATTTTGACCCTCTGATGGGTGTGTATCCCTGCCTAATATCCATGGTTGTTGGTGACCTGCAGGTCGCTGCTCAACGTTCACGAGCTGCAACTGTATACCTAGCGTGTAGCTATGTAGCACAGCTCGTGCACATTGGAATCACCAAATGTATGGCGTACGACCTCACTTCAGGTCAGCGCCAGAATTCGGACAAGGGTGACCCTCGCTCTTCGGTTGTTCGCACTACGTAACGGCTTCCTGTTCCAAAGTACTTCCTCCGCAGGACAGGAGATGCTGTATGCACGCTACGGTATTCATAGTAAACGCCATCAATACGTTGCGATGCTATCTCGTCCCGTGGACGTGCTTCTCGCTCAGCGGTTTGTATAGGTATCGTTTAATCCATCACAACGACCTGTGCTGCCCCCTCCGCCACACAAAAGTCTGTACTGGGACTTAGAAGTGACCGCTTTCCCCGTTCTTTGAAACGCTGCATAGATCGCAGCACCTCGCAGGCGAGGTCTTGTTTGACGTTCATTCGGGAGTTCGGGATGGCAGGTTCAAACGGCAGCACGTCGCCTTTGAGTGATGCCGAGCTCCTCAACAGCGTTATATGCTCGGTCCTCTGGGAGGGAGCTAACTCGACGTCTGCCAATACGTCAGCCCTCCTCGACTCTCTGCTTACGCGGTGCGTAGGCACTGTGTTGGCTGCTAACCGGGACACCTTTTGGGTGGTGTACTGCAATAACCCGCCGGACGATAATTGTCCATACGGATATTGTCCCAATGGCGATATTGCCGGTGAGTTCACAGGAGCCGGACCATGGGAGATAAATTTGACACCAGTGCACCTAAAGGCCTCCTCACACGGATCTCCGGTGAGCTTGGAAGTCGAAAATCAGTGTGTAGTAGGCTGATCGTGCGACACCAGCCTACATCGTCTCGTTCGCTACTGGTACGCCGATTGGAATACCCAGGGGAGCTAGGACTCACAGCAAATCCATTGCAGCTTGCCTCATGAACATGAGCGACGACACATCCCATATAATTTGGGCTCAACTACTCACACTATACTCGCTGCTCGTATTGGGCTTTGTCGCCCTGGCGGGAAATCAATTGGGCAGGATTCACGCTGAGCTTGCGCTCCTCATCGTCGGCTCGCCTTTGACCTGCTTCTTATGGGGCCAGTCCTTCTGGACTCTCCTCCGCCCGAGGAGAACACGCTGGACAGCGTCCAAGATCGCCCGCCACGTCCTTATCTCCGTGTCATTCTTCCTCTATCTAGCTTTCATCATCATTACTCTTATACCAAAGGCGTCGTCGTTCTTTACTCAAGAATCGTGTTACCGAGAGGGATTGGGCGCATTCGGGCTGCCGTTCTTCCTGTTGAACGAGGTGTCCATTATCTTATTCTCGGTCGAGTTATCGTCCTTGGTCGTGCTAGTCATTATCGAATGGATCAATCGGAGGGACGCATGGTTGGATATGCAGGATGGTCGGTTCCTCTCGGTAGTCAACGTCAAACGATTTTTGTGAGTGACGGTGTCTCTTCTGTCAAGTATGGACTATTTATAATTGGTCTCCGGTGATGTATAGACGGCTCATGCGGGCCAAGTACAACCATACTTTTTTCGTGGCATTCACAGGCGTCCCCTTCATAGCTTGGGTATGGATCACCGAACTTACCGCGATATCCAAAGGCGGCATCCCATTGGGAAGTCCTGTCGCTTTCGGCCAGGTATGCACAGCAATCATCTCTCATGCACCATCCTAGCTGATCATGAATTTACGCCGTCATAGTTGTTGACGTTATTCGCCGCAGTGCCACCTGTCTTGGCAATCTTCCAAGTCGCCAGTGGCAGGCAAGCAAAGCGACGCTTGATGCAGCGCAATGCTGGCATACCCAGGAAAGGGAGCGCAGAGGATTTGTTGGAAAATGCTCGTTTGGGAGAGAAAAGTGACCCTGAAACCCTGCACGCTGACCTAGCGGGCATGGACGTGAAGACGGGCTTCGTCCAGTGGTGGAAAGATTTATTCCAAGCCGCAGCCACCGACTGGATGTGGCTGGTGTTTGCGGCCTCTATCGCTGGTTTCGCCGGTGCATCAGTTGTCCTTGGTCCGCTTGAGCAAAACGCGGTAGAAGGGTAGATGGATGATTATTATTTTCAGCTTGTGAAAAGGCGAAGCGCAATATAATGTAGTTGGTGCTGTTTCGTGAAGCACCGGAGAGGGACCTGGCTCAGAGGTACCTGAGCATCGTTCGCACTTCCATATGTAGAACGCGCCACATCTGCCACTGCCAGTGCCACACAGGACCCGAAAACGTACGAATGCTCACATGGACGGGACGAACGCGTGACTGGACGCGTTGTGTGGCTGAATTTATCCCTCGATCCTTTCCTCGACTTTGAAAATGTCAGTCTTCGGCGTCTCAGCATTGATCTCTCTGTGATATCTGGAAGTCAATATCATGTCGGAACACCTACCGACCTTCGAAACGCTATCCGCCGCATACCCCTCGCACAAGCCCGTCTTGCTCACACTGCAGACTCTGCTGACCGCTACATCGCCGCCTTTCATCTACATAACCGACCCATACACGCCGAGAATCACCTCAAACGTGCTCAAGCAGTTCCTTGCAGGGCTGGTACCTTCACCTTCAAAGAGCAAGCGCACTGTGTACGCGCACGCGTGCCTGAATGCCATCTCAGCTTTCACGCCTCGTCTCTTCTTTGACACAGCGCTCAACGCGCTGGCGGGGCACGTACCACTGTGGCAGGAAGGGTGTGCGAATTGGAGGGGAAATGAGGGTGTAAGGTATAACGAGAGCGTGGACGGCTTTATCTGGGGGATCAGGGATGTGTGCGAGTATTTAAGGCAGGGTCAGGAACAGACTGGCAAACGGGAGTCGAAAGGAAAGGAGAAGGAGAGGGATGTGGATGTCAGGATGGTCTTGGTCGTCGAGAGGGCGGAGCGGCTCCTGCCCGAGCTTGTTGTCCCGCTGACCAGGCTAGCCGAGTTGGTCAGTCCTTCAAGTTCGTCGAATGTGACGCAAGCTGAGCTCTATCAGACACAAACGCCTATCACGACTATATTGACCTCGTCTCTCCCGTGGCAAGACACCAAGCCCCCTCTTGGCGCCTCCCCAGATCCGTTCTTCATGCAAGTCGGCCCGCCGAGCAAGGAGTGTACGTCCAGTCTTCCTTTTATTCGGCAACTAACCACGACAATATCTCTCTAGCTACGCTACACATCCTCTCAAGCGTCTTCTCCGACCTACCCCGCCCAGACTCGGACCCCACGATAAGCAGGGTATCGCAAGACAGCATCCGGACACTGCACACCCCGTACCTTTCCACCCTCCACTCCGTCTGTGCACCCTTTGTCCCCGACCCAGACGAGCTCGCGTACATCGGCGCAGCCCTGTGGCCCGCGTTCCTGCACGAGCTCGGCCGCCTCTTACGCGCCCACGAACAAGCCGGCGATGAAATCGAAATCACCGAAGAAACAAAAATGCGGCTGCTGCGTGCCTTCGCGCCCAAATTCCGCGAGGCGCTCGAGGCGCTGTTCCCGCGGCTCGCGTGCGCCGCCGACTTCCTCCCTTCGTCCCGCGCTGGGGAGCCGCGGGACAAGGACACGGCGATGAGCCTGACGCGGACGGAGAAGTACGTGCTGATCGCGGCGTACCTCGCCTCGACGAATCCGCCCAAGTCCGACATGCGCATGGTGTACCGCGGGTCGGAGGGCGACCGCAAGCGGCGGAGGAGAAGGCGGTCCAGTGTTCTTGCGTCCCCGTCCAAGAAGGACGGCGGGGCTGTGAAGGTGCGTGTGTCCCCGCATCAGTTGACCGCGCAGATTTGAGTTGATCGCTGGCGCGCAGATCCCGCAGCGCCTGCTGGGCCCGACGACGTTCCCGCTAGACCGGATGCTCGCGATCATGGGCAACCTGATGATCGAGCACGAGGAGGAGCTGGACTTTGGCGGGGACGAGTGGGAGATGGAAGGATTGGGCCGGGAGCGGAACGCAGAGGTCGAGGTGGGGCGCGTGGGCGTCCTGGGCGCGGTGGGTGTCTACAACTCCATATCCACGTCTTTGGCGTGCTGAATCGAATGCGCGCTAGATCACAAATTTGACGCAGAGTCATCTGCTCATACGCACCTCCCCGCCCGAGCGCATTGACGGCCCTCCGACGTTCAAGTGCGGGGTCGGGTACGAGGTCGTGCTCGGGCTCGCGCGGGAGGTTGGGGTGAGTCTGGGCGAGAGGATATGGGAAGCAGCCTGAGTTCTTTGCCTTTCTCTTTTCTGCTTCTGCTCGGTATAGAGATTGGTTTGGGCTCTGAATCGGGGCTGTCTGTGGCCTGCATGGAAGTGACTTGGCCATGAACCCTGTAAAGGGTTCATGACGTGAACACTTGATGCCGTCTCCGGCCAGCATCGTACTTTGCCCCTTCTCAAGTCCGCCTGCATGACAATGCTTTATGCAGCATATAAACCCGCATTCGCCCGTCCAAACATTCGACCAGTGCTCTTCCGCATAGTCTTTGACTCCACCATCTAGGTCTCATATCCTCATGACGACGTTTACTCGTCGTCTTATGCACGCAACTTGATCTGGTGGTCGCAATACGCGTTGCCTACCCTCCTTCGTTCCAACGTGCACTCTTGCGCCACCGACTGCTCAGGCTTTGGTCCGCACCAGGAGTGTCGTGTCTCTTACATCTCAGGTATTCGCTAATTGTTATATACATATCGCTAAGAGCCTCCCGACACGCATCCTCGTTCAAGTTGTGCCACTTCCTCGGTGACGCATGGTGCCAAGTACGCCTGCACCCCGCTGCCTGGATTGTCTCGTTTCCGGTTCAATCCTCCGCCATTCACCCTAGCCTCCGGCGGAGAGTGGTCGCTGCTCCTTCGGAGCCTCACGCGCGGGGACCGCACGACTTCCGTGGCTTATCGTCAGGTGGCTCTCCTTTTGCGACGTCGGCTGTGTGGCTCCTGCGGAGTTGTTGGCCCCCCTCTTCCGAGGCCGTTGTGCCCTGGGGCACACTGCCTGACCTGCTTATAGCAATTCGCCGCCCTTGCCGTCCCGTCCTCGCAGCTCCGGGTCTGAGCGTGATGGGACTCCCTGCTACTCAGACGGGGTCATGACTTGATATTACCGCTGGGGCGAGACACACTACATATGCATGCATGACTCGAATCTTGCTGGCTCCAGGACCCCGAATGTAGGGCGGGATGAATGCGCGAATACTGTCCACGCTAAGAGGCAAGTAGCTTGGTAGCGGGCGATCGTCACTGGGTACATAGCTCGCGACCTTCCTTCGTTCTACTCCGTGCTTTGGTGTTGCAAACCCGACGCGGCGAGAGGATCCTTTAGAGTGGGATATACGACTTCTTTGTTAGTAAAGGCAAACGTCGTTCTCGGGAGACACTTCACTGTGTCCAGACTGTGGGACCAACATTGGGATATGCTACAGACACGCTTGTGTTATGCTAAGTTACTAATACATATGAATAGAAACGAACGTTCAACCCTAGTACTACACACACGTCCAAAACACTACCAGATCAGTTAACCTCTCACGTCCTCTCCCCCTCGCCATCCACCCTCTCCTCCAGCCCCTCGTTCAAGATCCCCGCCCCGCCCGGGGGTATGCGGGTCTTCCACTCCTCTTCCTCATGCTCCCTTCGCGCCGCTAGTTCCTTCACGAGGCCAGCTATCACTTCGTCGGGGGCGGCGCCGATGCGCAGCGTCGCGGCGTCGTCTAAGGATGTAGGATGGGGGCTGACGATGCAAAGAGGTTTGCCGGTGTTGACGAAAGTGGCAGGAGGCGAGTCTGCAGTGGGAGGGGGTTTAGTGTTCGAATTCGTTATCAGCGTCCGGAGTGCCGTGGAAGGCAAAGGAGAGAACAACGAATTCGAAACACGTCCTTACCTAGAACCAACACGAGGTTAGCATGCGCGCCTTCGTCCCCGCCGGCCTGCACGAAGCGCGGCTGCACGAGCTCCGTCAGCCTATCCAGCGACGGGGGAGAGGTCCCAGCGCCGGTGTATACGGCCACGGTCTGCGCCTGGCGGACGAGCTGCGCGAGGGTCTTGGTCTTGGACTGGATTAGCGTGGGCGGGTCGACGGTGCTGGCGGCTACTTCGTCATACCAAGGGCCTAGAAAGGTCCAAGAATAGACCTTTTGTTCAGCCAATCAGAACGATTTCGACCTTTCCGACCTTTTCGAGTGCACGTGCATGTTCTAGACACGTGATGACCAAGGTTAGGGTTCGCTGCCGACGCTGCAGGAACACCAAGTCCAACAGCCATGGCGAACTCGTTTCACCTCATCCTCGTCTGCTTACTCTCTCCTGATTCTGCCCCCCCTTCCTCGCCATCCCGCCATCATGCCCAACCCTCGCCTTCTCCATCATGGACCCGCGGCCGCCCCGGCCGTCCGCATCGTCCTGCCCATTAACCGTGTCCGACGTGCCCCTTCCACATGCACCCCTCGACGTTTGCCGGCGTTCCCGTGTACTTCGACCACAACCTACAATACCCCAGATAGCACAAATTGAAGGAGGATGAGGATCTGGCTACTTACCTGCCACCGACGACAGGAGCAGCAAGGGGCAGGGCATAGATGCAGCCCTTACAGCCCAGATGTGCTAGCAGCACCCGCAACACCAATACCCGTCGCATGGACCACACACGCCAAGCAACCCCTCCACGACCCCACGGTCATGTCATCGCTATTTAGGCTCAGTGATTCATGCGAGGTGCACGTTGCACCCCCGCACGTCCATCTTCTCGAGACGTGCCAGAGGTCGACTGGCGGAGCACCCCAGGTCGAAGGCGACAACGGTGTTGCTGGTGGATACCACAAGCCTGAGTATTAGCTCAAGCATGATTGACGGCAATGAACTGAGCAGGGAGGGCTCGATTAGGTGAGTGACATACTTTCTGTGAGCACACCCATCATCCGGTCTGCCTCTGCCTCCTCCCCTCTCTTGCAGGGAGCCCAGCTGCCCCAACTTCCAGTCCAATCCAAGTCCCAGAGTGCGCATACAGCACACATCGGCAAGCACGGAGCACACTCGCTGTGGCTGGACTACTGCCGTGACCACGGACCCGTTCGTCACCCCGCCGCAAGCAGTCACTCATACCCTTCTGCGAGCAGCTCTCCCCGAAGCTCCGCCCTGTCCAACTCATGCCTATACGCCCGGGCGGCAAAGTGGGTATCGCAGAGGATTTCGGTGGTGTGTCCTCCCTCACCTCTCAGTCTGTGCTCTACTGACAATTCCTTCCTTCCTAGCCTGCAAATCCCCTGTGGTGTCCTACTACTTGTACTTTGTCTCCCGTCCGCTCCAGCGCCTCGCAAACACCTTCGGCTTTGTCTCTGCCACCCCGCCGTCCATCTCGCCCGTGGACCTGCAGCCCCGCTTCGCTGTCTCGTACCGCTCGGGCCTACTTCCCAACATTGCCACGAGCATGCACTGCGGCTTGGAGGAGGACATGGACAGTTCGGTGAGCTTCGTCACCACACCAACCGTGTTCATTGGCCTGATGCTCTGCATGATCGGTCGGTGTGTTACTCTACTTCTCTCCTCTCTGTTTCCGTCTGACAATGATGGAGCTTGTTCACTAGTGTGTTTGTGTGCCGTTACTTGCACAATTCAATGCAAGAGCATATAATTATCATCTGATTTTATGTAACTAAGTTGAAGTAGTACTGTACAGAATATTTGCATGGAAATATAAACTATGAGATGGAGCTCTGAGTACTGACAAACTTGATGTAGAAATGGGAAGTACATGGGCACACGAAGGATACCAATGAGACGCACCCAGAGCACCAGTCTCAACCAGTGAGAGCACTAGGGTGCTGAGCCCCACTAATCCTCCAAGCACCCTAGCCGTAGATACTGCTGCCCATCATGTACGACAATCATGGAGGCGGCCGGCTCAGGCTTGAGATCTAGATAACTGAAAAGCTTGAACAGGATGCGGCCATCTTCAAGTGTAATAGTGCGCTTGTGCAGCATCATTGCGAAGGCTTCATGCTCCATTTGCATGTCGTTATGCGCGCGTTGCTCGACGAGGACCTTCTCGTATACCTCGCGAAGGACCACTAAGAACCTAACGGGATTGAAGGTTGTCCCGTTGGCAAAGATAGTCTTCGGCTGGGGCCAATCCGGCAGTGGATCATTCGGTGACGCCTTCCCTAAAGTCTGCTTAACACCATCTGCACAAAAACCCTTCTTGTGATTGTCTGGATCACCCGATGGATTGGGGTACATGATCGTGCGACACCGAGCGCACGTAGCAGGCTTGCGCTGGGGAATATATTGCACCCAAATTAGCAAGAGCAATCAATTAAAACATTTCTAACTCCATACCTTTTTCATAGCACCCGCATCGCCGGCCTTCACACATTTCTTGACAAGCTCCACGGCCTCGCAGTGCCTGCGCCAGAAGGTCTCACTACCTTTAGAGGCTATAGAGTGGGATCAGTTTTTAGCCCCTACAGACGAGGCTGGTAACCTACTTTTGTAGTTGCCTTGCGCTATACGATCCGTAATCTTTGTTTCTACCTCACCCAGTTTCTGCATCAGGGCGCGCGGGTTCTTGGCAATGAAAGGCGAATTTGATTTCGAAGGTGTCCTCGCTGCCTCTTCAAGTCTCTTATTGTACTTCTCAGTGGCGAGAACCCACTTCTTTGACGTCATTTGGAACGAGACCCATTTTTCCTCTGCCCGCATATCCATGAAGAGAAAGAACTCCTCGTTATTGTTGATTGTGAGAGATCGGATATTTATGCCTGTTGAAACTGAGAAGAGAAGCTCCGAACGGGTCATCTTGGTTGAGCCATCAGGAAGAGGGAGTCGAGCGGAGAGTTTGTCGGATGAAGACTTCAATGGACCATCGGCTGGGGTCACAGGTCCTGAACCCGCAGCTGCATGAACTGTTGAAGGACTCGTCAATGACACATCAGAGGTTCCAGGACCCGTGCTAATCCGCGACGAGAAGAATGTATGGATAGTTGCAACCGGGCCTGCCTGCCAGTGAATCACGATCAGAAACCAGATGCTGGTGATGCATATGAAGCACTTACATCAGTGCGTGACTTCTTCTGTTCGCCCTGGCCCTCGCTTGTCGCGTAGACTTCTGACTTGCGTTTCTGGGTGCTGGACACTGCTCCGGAGCCCTCTGCTTGGCATTCGGGATTGAGAATGGGCCGGGCGTCAAGCACGTCGGTGCGCTGCCTCTGCAATCGCCAATCAGTAACCTCAGGTAGAATATAGAATCACATACGCACCTCTGTTGGTGATACCGATGTAATTTTCGGGGAATTTCCTCTGCCAGCTTCAAGTTTGCATACAGAACGTTAGCTAATGCTCGTGTTAGACAGCCAAATGCATTATGCATACCTTTTCCATCAGCTCTCTGTCCCTCCAGCTTAAAAGTTAGTTTCTTTCCGGGTTCAGTGAGAGCAGTATGACTGAGCCATGCGCCAGGAGCTTCTTGAGTGCGATCCTCCGGTTGATTAAGAAGTCGAGGATCAATGTTAAGATCTTGAATAATATCTTCTATGCGGCCACGGGCTTCCTCTGACGTGAGGTCCAGGAGCTCATCTTCGGGCTCATCCTTCACCTTCAGGAAGCCACCGAATGTGGCCGTATAGTCAGAACCAACGATGCCAAAGCGCTCACCGCTGTCGACAATCTGGAGACGGGGAAGGGGGTCATACACCTGATTAGCCATCTTTGGCACCTTCTTATCAGATGACAGATCGTTCCATAGCTGAGCAACCCTGTCGACGAGATGTAGATGATGTGAGCCAAAGAGAGACTTCACAAAGACATCAGGTCCTTTGAGAGCGCTTGCGACCCGAATATTTCGACGCAAGACAAAGTCATGGCACAGGGCAGCGAACATCACAAGTCCGCTTGTAAAGGAGCGCTGTAGTCCGTTGAAGCCACGGTGTGTACTTTCGATACGGCTCCCATCAGTACGTATATCTTCGCGTGGCCTTGCCAAGCATCCCTTCCTGATGTGTGAGAGCTGCTCAGCGTGAACCTACGTCCAAGATTAGAACCCGATCACATGCAACATAAGGGGATCACAGCTCACACGGGAAGCCGCAGCTGACCAAACTCCACCGTGTCTGGCCCACTTATCAAATGCAGCGGTAATACGAGCCTCCTGGTCCTCCTTGGGCCAGTAACTCGCTCCAGCTTCCTTTGTGGCACCCTTCTTCAAGATGGCAGCAGATATATCTTGCGCTACAACAGCCCGCAGTGGGTTCTTCGTGCCGCCGATGATGCAAGCAGTATATCTAGACAATGTGGGGTGATTATAAGGTTTGATTCATGATAAACATAGAGAGACGCACCGTGCAACGAAATGGAAGACATCGAGAAGGACACAGATTGCACTAAAGACCTTTGTAATTCCGCTTCGGACATGGCAACAATTATCGGCGATAGCCATGGTGGGATCCGCTACGCCAAGTGCCCGACAGCGACGCTTGAACCCCTCGAGCAGCTCTGAGATCTCTGCATTCGCTTGGCTATGACAGAACCTCTGGAAGCAGTGCCAGTTTCAGCTTGCATGCTTGGACTGAAGTGGAAGAGTACTTACCCATGCGATGATCAGATTATCTTCGTTAACCATGTCAAGTATCCCACCCTTGTTGATCTCAATCCGCTTCCTGTTTTCGCCGATAATGGTCGCCTTCCCTGACGCTCGGAACGTATTGTCCAGTGACAGGGCTATGGCTGGCAAGCAGAGACGAGGATCAGATTAGTAATCATGTGAGTACTTGCACACATGCTTACCAGACAATGTACGCAAATACTCCTCTGATTCCACCTGTCTCGTACGCCGATTGAATTCTATAAACACCTCGGTGATCATATCATCACTAATAGAGTGATCATTATAAGCGGACTTGTCTCCTGGGTCTGAGAAGCGCTGCAGGGGGTTAGGGAGGAGGGGCGAACGCCGGGATATCTTGTAAGCCTCCAGATATTCGAGCATGCGCTGCCTATACTCCAAGAGATGCAGTTCTAAACAGCCAGCCCATCAATAAGGCTTGACGATGAGGAATGAAAACATACGTTTAATGTTTTCAGCCAGGCCCGCCGCAGTCGTTGAAGGACGAACTTCGATGATGAGGTTGAAAAGCTCGCGAGTAATGGCGCAGCGCTTGAAGAAGTGAGGTATCCCGCCTACGAATCACAGGAAACAGGTCAGCTTCCCATTGGTGTAACACTATCGAGGACTCACGAGGGACTTCCCAGTGTTCCCATCTCTCCCAGAAGATTGCATTCGTGGTTGCGAAGCAATACTGTCCTTTTGCTCCACCTGCGATGCTCTTGTCGAGGTCACCAGCTTGCCCAGTACGTTCTGACCTCTTCGCATACTTCTGTTCACAATCCTTACATCTGAGCTGGTAGCCAATAGCGCCCTCCTCCCGGAACAGGCCATGAACATCGCGACGGCCTGTCGCTGTCCAGCCCTCCCATGCCGTATTTGCAGATTGGCATTGCGGACATCTCGCAAGCTCCGGGTAATAGAAAGGGTGGATGACGTTGAGCGGGCGCAGGTATGCAAGCCCAGGCTTGATGGCAGGGCAGTTGTCCCATCTGCGAACATGCAGATATGTCGGCGGGGTGAAATGCGGCCCTAAGAGTGGTGTGCCCTTTGCCAGTGGAGGTGCACCGTCTTTCCCAGACTTGATGAGCCGATAGACATAGCTGACGTACTGCACGACCTCGGCATCCCATTCGAGTTGAGCGCGATTGATAGTTTGGGTAGAGCGGTTTGCGGTCCACGTCCGGATACGGCTTTCCACCTAGTTCACGGTACGTCTCAGTGGGTGTGCCAGCAGAATAAGGAACGCACGTACCCCTTTTTTCCATTCCTCCGCTAACTTCCTTTGCTCGGCCAGCGTAGGTAACACAGCTTTGAGGTTTGCTAGGACGGCCTGGGGCTCGAAAACTGACATGATTTGGGATGGAAATGAGGTGTGCCCATACCATTTTGAACTGAATTGCCGTGTCTCAGATTTACTTCCGTTGCCGCGTCGGCCTACAGATCAATCTGGACTATGTCGCAATGTACTCATCCACGGGGGACTTCGACGCACCTCCCTGAAGTGCGTGGCATGCTCGCTAGAGCCCATGAAACGCCTGAGGGTTAGTTAAAACTGCTGGTTTGCTAAGCGAGAATGGTCACTTACGGAAGGAAATCCCTTCACAATGGATTTATTGCTGTACTGGCGGTAATACTACTCCGCTGTCTGCTATTCTCAGTATGTCAGACACTAGCCAGATAATAAGACACTTGACATTCAAGTTTGCAAGACTCTTCAGAAATGTCCGTTGTGCCTGCCACTCATATACCTTACATGTGCGTCAACGTAGAAGGCTTCAACCCGAGTACCAGTAGTACATCTGCGGGCAGACGATCCTACTTCCGAGTCACAGCAAACATGAATTGAATGTCGCCGGTGTCAGGACTGATGTGACAATAGAAGTCATTAACCATTGTGCGCCAACGTAAGGCTACCAGTGTAGCGGTCCCAGTCTCCCAGATAGGCGCTCAGCTCGCTTCGTTGGTCCAGATGAGATGGGCACCGGCAGACTGGTTCCAGTGATCCAGTTGATCTGGAGGATACGTGCCCATCTGCAGACAATAGATTGCTGTATATCACTCTTTGTATTTAGCAAGAGAACTCATAAATTCAAGCATTGACAAGCAAAGTGAACTATGTTCAATTCATGTGTACAACATTATTGATATTATTCTTAATATACAATACTACTTACCACGTCTCGCAACACTCGAACGCCTCGTTATGCACCTGCAGGCTGGGCGACTTGTCTCTCGCACACGACAGTCGCACTCACCAGCATATCTCACCTGGCCATTGCAATGCTAGAGCGCAGATCGCAGTTTGCCCTGCACTGCAGCCAATGTATCAGCATACAAATACAGATACCAGACAGGATTGGAAAGCACGCACCATCCTCAGCATACTTGGATCTCATCCTGTACAACCTACCCTGTGCAGGAGTACTCGATGTCCTCCTCCGTCTGGCCCTGCAGCGGCTAGTTCGGCACCTCGAGGTACTGCTCACCGACGTACTCACTCAGGATGCTGTTCTTCGCCATGCCCTTGAGCGCCTTCTTCTTGATAATCCTCGTGCAGGAGCTCGCCGCGCGGTCGTGTTCGCGTCGAGGTGCCCCTTGCGGCTGCGGTTCTGCGACTGCCACGCGAAGAGCTGCAGGCGCTGCATCTCGGGGGCTTCGCTGATGTGCCACGTGAAGTTCTCGCTGGTGAATTTAGCCTAGTGGGGAGGGGTTAGGATGTCAGTGATGAGAAGTGGTGGGAGAGTGGACCATACCTCTTCTGGGGAGATGTCCTTGATGGGCACCTCGCACAGGAAACTGGTCTTGCGGTTGTAGTAGGCAGAGGAGGGGTCAAATCACGGCTATGCAAGTTTCTGGTGGAGATGTGGGTCTCATCCACGTACCTCTCCTTGTACTCGTCCTCTTCGTTGCTCAAGCCATGTCGTAGTTGCTCAAGCCATGTCGTAGTTGCTCAAGCCATGTCGTAGTTGCTCAAGCCATGTCGTAGTTGCTCAAGCCATGTCGTAGTTGCTCAAGCCATGTCGTAGTCGCCCTTCTCCTTGCCCGCCTTGGCGACGCCGCGACGGCAGCGAGGTCCCTGGCCGTCGGTCGTCATCTGCTTGTCGATCTCCTCTTTGGGGAGCGCGCACCGCCTCGAGCGCGTCGCACTCCTCGTAGAGCTTCTTGTACTCGGCCGTGTTGTACCCATTCCCGCGATCGCACTTCGTAACCTACCCGCCGGGCCTGATGTCCCTGTTCGTGCACTTCGCGCCCTTGCACGGACGCTCAAGGTCGACCTGCTTCTTGTGCGAGAGCGTGCCGCGCATGCGCCGTGGTCACACCAGTGATCAGGCGAGTCCTTGGGCTGTTTTTCGTTATGCCGCAGGTGCGCGAGCATGGCGCAGCCCGAATCGAGATGCGAGGGGCCGTGGGAGATGTGTTCTGCATGATGAGTGAGTCAGAGATGCAGAAAATGGACAAAGGGAAGACGCACAGCACATTTGGTATTAGCTCCCTGCAATCCAGAGTGGGATGTAGCACATACCATAGGTGATCCAGCGGGGGCAGAAAGTCAGCAGCATGTAGCCGTACAGTTCATCTATCCTC